ATTTTTTGTCGTTTGAGAAGGAGCACATTCAAAACATCCTAATTAAAATTACAAATTAAATTAAACGACAGATAGAGCGTGTAAAACAATATAATTATCATGGTATTATTATAGATCAAGATACATTCAGATCTAATTCCCTAATCCCTGTATACCGAAAGAATGGTATTTTACATATTCTTAAGTAACATTGATTTCTCTCTTTTTTTCTTCCTAGATTATAGATTATACAAGAAATTGTTTTCTTCTACAGCCTAAAACATTTTCCATTTTATAAACCTGTTAAGCTACAGGGTGTCCCACGAAACTAGACAGTTGGTAAATAGTTTTGAATGTCATCTTCCATACACTGTATTAGATATTAAAGGCTTTTGCTCGAATATATTTTACTTTGAAGTTAATTTTACTATAATATGACTCCATATAATATTTTTATAATTGTCTTTGGTATTAAACAACTTTAAAAATCATGGAAAAAGACATTCTAGACTCTATTTACCAACTGTCATGTTTCGTTTGTTTTTCTCATGTAAATAATCTCAATTGATCTCAATTTAAAAGAATTTAAAGGGAGTGACCGGTTATGTAAGGTATTTGAACTGAGTATGCAGTGTTGTGGAAAACTTCTTTCGGATTCATTTGAGACATATTAAACTTTTTAAAGATCTGTAAATCCTCCTACTTTGGGGGTGGATACGTTTTCAGAATTAGTTTTTTTAAATAACCTGAGTCTAAAACTAAAGAACGAAAAGTTTTGACTTAAATTTTAAGTTCATGGTTAAATGCCACTTCTGACTTAATTTAACCCTGAACTTTAACCGTGAAGTTAAATATTTAACTCGCCGAAATCGACGAGTTAAAATTTAAACACAGGGTTAAAATCTTGAAATCCTGCNTGAAGTAGGAGTTTTGAACGTTGAATTTGCGCTAAACTAAGGATTTACAGATCTTGAAAAAGTTTAATATTTCTCAACAGTGCATACTCAATTCAACTACCTTACATAGCCGGTCTGTCTCTTTAATAACGTAAAAATTATATTAAATTTGACATGGATATACAACAAACCAGCTGAATGCAAGAAAACAGATTAAACAAATTTATTAGAACCGTCTCTGAAGTCACATCCTTAGTTGTTAACTCTGCACAGGGTGAACCAAAAAACAGAGATTAGGATTATTTATTTAGCCCTTTTAATCGTTAAAAAAAACTCCAAATTTTTTTAGAAGGGGTCGTTTCAGTTCAGTTGTTTTCTCTCTGCAATAAAGATTTAAATGGAATGAAATTATTAATCGTTTGAATTTAAAAGACAGGTTTTTATTGAAAGAAACAGTTTTGTGCCAAACGGAAGCACCAAAAGACAAAATTATACTTAAACGACCCCTTCTAAAATTAAAAACTATGTGCTCGGGCCCTTTTTCGAGTAATTTCAATAGAGTATTGGGACTTTAAAACTTAATCCCTGTTTATTTTGGATCACCTTGCAGAGACCGAATTTAATGAATTTGAGCCGCGGCTTAAATTTAAGCCGGGTCTCAAATATGACTGGTTCTACTTTAATTTGTATTCAATTTTTCAAGATTTAAGCCGGCGCTCGATTGAAACAGGTTTTTGTGGGATTTGAGACGCGGCTTAAATTCATTAAACTCGGACCCTGTATGTTTGTTTATCCCTTCTTTTCGTTAGCATCACATCTTGCACTTTTTGCACTGTAACTTCAATTTTGTGTTTCTATCTTTCTTTACAAAATATATTTTTTTTAACGGCGCTTGATTGAAACCGGTTTTTGGGGGATTTGAGATGCGGCTTAAATTCATTAAATTTGGACCCTGTATGTTTGTTTATCCCTTCTTTTCGTGAGCATCACATCTTGCACTTTTTGCACTGTAACTTCTATTTTGTGTTTCTATCTCTCTTTACAAAATATTTTTTTTTTTAAATTGTTGAGCGGCGGCTCAAAAATTAACTGTAATACAATTATTTTCAGATGATTGAGGCGGAAGCTAAAATTGACAGTTTCCTTGAAAAACAGGAAAATGAAAGAAAAATGGAAGAGCAAAGAAAATTATTCATTGAAGGATGTAAAACTGTTGAAAATCGGTAAAATAATATATTTTGTAATTTTGTAATTCCTTAATAATTGAGACTTTATATTTTCAGAACGCTTGTCAATGGTAAATCCGCGACTGAAAAAAGGCAGGAAAAATCCGAAAAATTGAGGAATGCCGGAAATAAATCATTTCAAAATGGCGACTTTTGCTGCGCGGAGGATTTATATACCAGCGCCATTTTAGAATGGGATGGGGACCATCAACTTTTCAACAACAGAGCTCAAGCAAGGATTAAATTAGGAAAGGTATTGTATTCTTCGCATAAATTTTAAATTTTTATCCGAATTTCGGATTTGTTTGTTATAAAAATGCACAGAAATTAAAATTTATTTTATTCTATTGGATTAATAACATTTTATCGGACTTTTTCAGTTTACAGAGGCGATTGAGGACGCAAAAAAGTCTATTAAGGAAAAAGTTTTATTTAAATTATCTAAAATAAATTGAGAAATATTCAGTTCTTTGCCAAGGAGATGTATCTACTTAATTTCTCTTTCGCACAATGACAGATCCTATGTAAAGGAATTACAGTAATTTATACGAGGTATGTTAAATAAGTTTTGCGGCAATTTGTTAAAAGACATGGTAGCTAGAAGCTAGATGTCTCAAGCCTAATAATTTTAAAAAATCGCAAAACTTATTGAACATATCCTTGTATATGTTGTAGTCTATGATTCATAATCACTTAAAACAAAAACTCAATAACTCACGATTTTTAAATTACTTCAAGAAAAGGCCTACGGAAATTGGATTTTTTGTATTTTTGAAAAATTTTAAAACTAAAATCTAAAATTTATCTCTAACACTCGGTCGACGCCGAATAATCTTTGAGTCTTAGAAGAACGTACGTGGGGTTTATTCACTACATTTAGAGGTTTTGAAAAGCGTTCAAAAAATCTTTTTAGAGAAAACTTTGCAGAGAGTTGAAATGATTTTATTTCTAATCTCAAACCCCGCCGGACATTTTTGTGACACATTTTCAAAGTTTTCATTTGTTTCTTAATATTTTGAGAATTTTGATTTTCATAAATAATTTCTGCAGCTGAAATCAGATTGCCTGAAAACCAGTATTATAATGGCTAGAGCTTTAGCTGGAAATAGGTAACGTTTTCTGCTTCATTTGAAGGGATTGTTAACGTATTCTGTTTCATTTAGAGGGATTTTAACGTATTCTGTTTCATTTAGAGGTATTTTTAACGTATTCTTCTTCTTTTGAAGGAATAGCAAACGTATTCTTCTTCATTTGAAGGAATAGGTAACGTATTTTGCTTAATTTTATAAGAATAGTAAACGTATTCTGCTTTATGTGAAGGATTCTATCAATTAGAGATTGTCAAATATAAAAAAGTGTTATTCTGTAAATTATTATACTCAGATCGTCTAAAAGCCAGTGTTAATTAATAAGTTGTAATAAGTTTTTTATTTTTTATTCTACTTTTATTAAGAAACCCCATTTAATTTGTGTGAAAAATACATTTTTTAGAATTCAAAAATTTGAAAATATTTGTATTAAATAGAAAAAAGTATTTTTCCACTTTTTTGATTTTGCTCTAATAGATTAAGTACTTGACAATCTATATATTGTATCAATCGTTTCTTTACATATACGAATTTATATATTGTATCAATTGTTTCTTTATATATATACGAATTTATATATTGTATCTATTGTTTCTTTATATATACGAANTAGGAGCTAGATAACCAGAAAACTGTAGAATAGGAATTCTGAAGACGACATTAAATCAATACTGAAATGTATTTGATGTTATTACAATGCATAGCGATAGGCGATTTGATTAATACAAGGAAGACGACTTTCGAATTAAATTTTGATTCGAATATAGCTTTTAACCACCATGAATACACATAAACATAGAAGTCAAGATAAGCTGCCTATTAAAAAACTTCTTTTTGATTACTTGTGAAGTTGTAATTAGGAAAAAGCTTGTTGACAAACTTGAAGAAAAAAGTTGTCTTCATTGTATTGATTTAATCGCCTACCACTGTAGTAAGTTATTAAATCACTTATTAGGTGAAATAGGTCTGCATTCATGTTCAATAGGCCATTATAAGTCATAACGTTCCATATTCCTGAGTTTTCTGGTTATCATTGTATTATTTAATGAAAAATTAAGTCTCCACTGGAACGTATAATTTAAATTTACGCAAAAATTGAAATAAAAGGTGGTTAAGGAACATATATTAAGAAAAAAAATCTTTTCTAATTTCTGTTTTTTTAGGATATAGAAACAATCACACAGTATAGAAGAAACCTCATCAAACAAATGAAAGATTTCTTGAAAGAGTAGAAAAGTGTTTCTGCAGGGGGGGGGGCACACCTAAAAAACTGCGGTGCCTCAAATAGATTATCAAGTACAATAGGTGGCAACAGAGAAATGGACAATTATACGCAACGTCACAAGTGTCGAATATAACAAGAAAAACAAAATTTTCTCACATTAGTTGACATGTTTTCCAAGATTAAATAAAAAAGTTTAAAAACAGAAAATAAAAATCCAATTAAATTTCAATTATTTTACTGTAAGATAATTACTTTATTCTAAAATTATCACTATTATTAATAATTTTGTCGGACACAAAAACTGAATTGACACTTGTGCAATAAGAATACAGCTGTACTGAGAGTGTACACATTATATTTGGGGTGCCTAATTTTGTAATTGTAATCTATTATCTTGATTTTGATGGTTTTTTACAAATATATTGTTTTATCATTGTGCTTTTTTCTAATACATAATTTAAGTTAAAATATATAAATATTCCACGTTTTATGTTACTATAGTTATTTTATCTTATAATATTATTGCTAATTCATAACAAAGACGATATCGAATTCGTCACTGAATTCCCATGTTTGTTTGGGACACCCTGTATATCAATTTAATAATAATGCAAAAATAAAACAATTCCATATTTATTAACAAAAGGCGTAACAAGAGTATGAAAAAATACAAAAAAACCCTGAGACATAACACCAGTAATCTACATCCTTTCACATAAAACTGACATTTTATTTTCAATTACATAAATGTTCAATGTTATTGCTCATAGAGGCATATACCATGGAACCACAAAACAAAATACTTTTCAAGTCCATCGTATTAAAAAAATGTCTGTAAAGACATATGTGGAGGGGAAGGAGGGGTGGCCGTGGGGAGAATCTAAGCTATGGGCGGTGGACACTGGACACTGTTCCTTGTGTGAATCTAACAGATGTTGTACAAGTTATTATTTATCCTAGGCCTGGAATGTTTGATCTAGTTTGAACTAAGAATATCACAGCCAAGTTTTCTCTATTTATCCTTGTTCTTCTTCTTCTTCTTCTTTTTTCTTAACTTTTCCTCATCCGATCTAAAAAAATCAGTATTTATTTTTTTAACCTTTTTTTGAATCTTAGAATCCGACAGAAAACTACAAATAATTAACTCTAATAATAAACTCCATTAAAAAATTAAATTCTGAGAACACCTTAAATGTCGAAAGGTCAAATTATTGGACAGGTTTAACATTCAAAATGCATATTCGTGCAAAAATACGGAATTCCGTGCAAAAGTTTATGGAATATGCAAACAAATTTAAGCATTTTTGCGCGAAAGTTTGAGGAAATAAGAGAAACGGTTCACAGTTGTCTCGAAAATCGTATCTCCTGCATGTACTCTCTGGTCTACATGATCAGGTATAAGATGACTAAAATCTTATCTCCTGCATGTACTCCCTGGTCTACCTAATCAGGTATAAGATGACTAAAACCTTCTCTCCTACATGTACTCCCTGGTCTACCTAATAAGGTATAAGATGACTAAAATCTTATCTCCTACATGTACTCCCTGGTCTACCTGATCAGGTATAAGAAGGCAATGAGGAGAAGGATTGGGATGGCCACGCAAAGGCTCACAAGGACAGGGTATTCCTAAAATTAAATTTTTAAATGATTTTATATCTTATTTGAGAGCGAAACTTTTGTGTTGGATCCTGGGCAAGTCTAGAACATTAAGGACTTCTAGGCTTGAACCTTAGCCACCGAATTATTTTCAGAGGTAAAATTTTGTCCAGTGGATATCGAGATTAGCCGCTGAATTCCTAATGTGACGTGTTATTTTAAGGTAAAATATCTTTCATCAAGAACCGTTTTTGGTGCTAAACATTAATTTTATGGGACTGTCGTCATAATTCAAATGACCCTCCATTTTGAATAGGGCTAAGTCCGATTCACAACGGTACCCTTGACTTGTGAAACCTTAACCTGATCAACAATGTTTTCTGGCTTGAAGAGTTATTAATTCTTTTAATTTCTCCATTGTTTTTGAAGCAAAAAATACACAAGTCACTTTGGCAGAGTGTTTCGTTGTTAATCGGACACACGCTGCTAACAAATTACGAATTAAATTACGTTCACAGTTCCTTTAAAAAAAATAAGATACCTTGATGTAATCTACGCAGAGCTGAACCAGGTCATCGCTAAATTAATTCATTATTAGAATTCAATCATTTTAAAATTGAGACGAGCTAAAGAGCCCCGCGTTGCCCGTGTAATTTTAAATTGCGTGCATTTGTTTAATAAAATTTGAATTTAAAAGAACATGATTTCAAAATTGTAAAACTTTTTCTCTTTGAAATAAAAAAACTAGGATTTTTTTTTGCCTATGTTTCTATGTTATAAACGTCAGACAATTTGGTACTACCGTTTGGCCAGCTATAACTAACATATATATATATAATTGAGATAATTCTGAAGTTTTTTCCCACATTACAATTTTCTAAATGTATTTCAAGGTTTGATTTACTCTCCCAAAAACCTGAAATAAAGGATTTGGCCCCTAGATTTCAGAAATCGAGAAAAGTTTTAATTGAAAAGATTAACTGTATAATTTTATAAAGTTCTTCGCTCATATATATATAATTTTATGTTAGCTATAGCTGGCCAAACGACTAGACCAAATTGGCTGACACGAGGGAACCCATAGGTATAGGCGTTAAAAAATTCAAAGTTTTTTTCTTCATTATTAGATTTTTTTCTTCAAAATTTCGAATTTTTTTTTTCACTTTCAAAATTCAATTTTTTTTGAAGTGTTTTAAAATTCCCCGGGCACTACAGCTAGAATTTTAATAAAGTTCTCAAGAAAACAACTTACAACGGACTTTTCGGAAGTGGGACGGATGTTGCTGGATAGTTCTTATAGAATCCAGTAATGAAGGAGGTTAAACTCTCAACATCATACTTCTCCACGTTATATCTGTAGAGCTTGTGCTGACGGAAACTAGGAAGGATTGGGGTTTAGTTAATCATAGAATTCAATGATTTTTGGAGATCTGGGAAAAAATGAAAAACTTTACTTATGGGGATTGTAATAGAAGTGAAATTCAGAGAAAAACGAGAATAAAAATTAAATGTGTCAAAACTGATGAAAGGGGGAAAAGGAAAATAATTAAACCTAATTAAAGAAAAAGTGATTGATATGTATTATATGGAAATTTCTTTAATCATGTATCCGCCCCTGGGTTTAATATTGACATTTTCTGTAATAACATAACATTATTGATTGTAAGATATAAGCTCATTAAAAAAGATCAATTTTTATTATTGGCCCAGACCTGACACCGGGTCAAATCGCGGTTGGGACTTGTTCCTCCAGTACAACCACTGATAAAAATACACAGGAGTTATTTCTCTGTAAACAGTTGTAAGTCCAGGTAAATAGGCTGGCAGCCCCCCTGGTTGTACCTGAGTTAGATGCTCGAATGTGGTGTCTGTTAACTCCTGTACAGCAGGGTCTTTATACCTCAAAAACGTGTCTATCATAACCTCTCCGTTTGCTGGACCTGTAAAAAGTTTTTGTGAGTTAATATTCTTAATTATTTTTAACTTAGGCACCAAGCTTAAAAAACATCACTGTGGTTCTACCGAGTAAGGGGTTGGGGGGAAGAAGGCAAACCGCACCCGTAACCGTATAGCCTCCATCCAAATTCAATCTTCACCAGAAATAACGAAGTTTTGCTTACAATTCGGTTTAAAATTATCTAAATCTAGATAATGAAGGTTGCATCAAGCATGAAACATCGTGTTTATGAACAAAATGGTTTAAGAAGATTGTTACGTTTTCACTGATATCTATCTATATGCTTTGCTTGCCTGTCTGTTTGTTTCTATGCAATAAACGTAAAAACGGCTACACTGATCGGGCCCAAATTTTTACCTCGCCTGACCCAGGGAAGGTCTATGAATGATGTAATTAAAAAAAATTGCCTCTAATAAAAAAGATTTTTTAAATTTTTTAAAATCCATGATTTTTTTTGTAAAATCCGCGAAAAATTTAAATAGAAGATCCTAAAAGTCTAGTACATATATATATATATTTTACCATCATACAGGACAGGGAGTCCACTTCGGAACATAACAATCCCAACAGATACTGGAGTCGGAGAATATCTTAACAAAAAATATTTTTAATCTGTCACAGCTTTGATCAAGCTTTAATTCAACTAAAATCAGGGG